CCCTCGTTGGCGCCAGTGGCCCCGTGGCAGCCTGTAGAATCCAGGTCTGGTGCACAGAAGGCCCTGCCACCCTCTTACCTCTGGGCTTTGGTGCTTACACAAGACACGCTGCAGAACCCCGCCAGAGGCCGGGGGCGCCAGGTGCTATCTTCGGGCGGACCCGGCCTCGGTGGGGTCTGGCCTGGCCCCCGCACGCCTCTCCTGGCCACACTGGGTTCCCTCTGCCGCTGCAGTCCTGTGTGGCGTGCCTGTGCCGGGAGGACCTCGGCCGCCCCGTCCACCGTGGGCCTGCGGTCCGCCGTGCCCGGCCTGGCTGCTCTGGCCGTCCCCCCAGGACCGGCTGGAGCAGGCTCCTGCCTTTGTTGCTGCTAACGCTGGAGGTGGGTGTTCCTCACTGCTGTGTGCTGCTCTCACCTCCCCGCGTGGGTAACCAAATTTCTAAGTAGTCAGAAATATTGAGGTAGTTGCATAAAGTTATTTTGTTCGGCATTATTTTTCTCACTCGACAGAACTATATGGGGTTGATTTTCCTTTAACTCGTGGTCCAGTCTCTTGCTGTGCTTTCAAGGAGCTCAAACACGGTCTCTCTTTTTCTGAGTGAAAAGCAAAGGTCCCATCCTGTGCCCCGCCGCGCAGCGCTGGCTCTGAGGGCCTCGGGGGCTGTTTCTCGTCCGGCCGTCTGGGACCGTGCTGCCCTGCTGAGACATTCCATCCCGCCGCCTCCCTCCGGCGCACGCCAGGGGCGGTGCCTTCGGACGAGGTGGATGCAGCCGACCACCCTGTCCCCAAACCCGCCCTGCGCAGGACTCCTTGGGGTGCTGAGCGTCAGCACCCACCGGAGAGACGGTTTTTATTTTCTCTCCAGACCGTAGGCCAAATGGCTTTTACCAACTGTTAGCAGATCGCATGTCTCTGACACCAGGCCCGAGCGCCAACCTACCCTCCTGCTGCTGCTCGGGGAGCGCCAGGCTGGCCCGGTGGTGGACGCACGGGTGGCGGCGCCGTCCTCGGGGTCCCGTGCCACGGGGAGAAGTCAGCCTTTGTTTTTTTTAAATCGGCCACTGTTTCTGCTACTCACAAGAGGGTGCTGTGTCCGCACACACATGCTCAGCGGGCGCTGCGAGCTCCTGGAAGCCGGGGTGCTAGAGCGAGGGCCGGGCGTCTGGGCACAGTCTTCTCCCTGCCCGGCTTCTTTCTGCGGTGGGGGGGCTCGGCCACGTGCTCCCCAGTGGGACAGCACAGCCCAGCCCCGTCCCCCAGGGAAGCTGCAGGCTGAGCCCTCCACCCTCACCCTGCCCAGCCTGGCCAGGCTGAGCCTTCACTTGTCAAACCCCTTTTCTAAACAGACTCACTTTCTTAGAAAATGCATCTGGAAACCAGACCGTTGCTACCAAGTGTCTCTGGGTTTTGTACCAGTTCCCACCTCTCAGGCTGTCCACCCAGGACCCCGGCGCCCCCCACGAAGGCGTCTCCGCGGCCACACTCAGGGTGTCCTGCTCTCTCTGGCCGGCTCACGCCCCGCCTGGGCCACCTTTGCTGACCTTTTTGGGGGTTCCCTGTCGGTGCCACAGGGGTGTTTTCTTCCTTAAAACCGACACTGTACCAACCACGAGACCAGGAGCCCCCACTCCCATCCCGACCTCCCTGCGTCTGCTGCTCAGCAGGTCACCGCGATGCCCGCGGTTTGCAGATCGGAGAGTGTGGAATCTGAAAGGCCCGGTGGACACGTCCATCTCTCAGGAGGCGTGGAGGGAAAAGACATATGTAATGAAGTTTTTTTTACGTGACTGATTTTTTTTTTTAAATCAATGTTCAAACTAATAAATATTTTTTTACAAAGAGGAAAAATATGTAGATTACATTTCACATTTTGTATTTTTTTTGTTTGTGTCTGTTTGTATTCTGGTGTTTGCAACACCGAAGTGGAAAATGCAGCCCGTTGGGGGTGGCGTTGTGGGGGGAGGGGCGGGGAGACCACATGACTTTTGTACCAAGCTCTGGATCCTGACAAGGCGGTTTGAACTCTCTGGGTTTTGGGACACAGGACACTGCAGGACTGAATAGGGACCTGACTCAAAAGACACAGCTTACTGCTTCCAACTTTGCACATCTTCCTTTTTAAAAAAGAAAATTGAGAAAAAACAAAAACTGGAACTTTTTGCAATATTATGAAAGATAAGCTTATTTTAGCTCATTCTGTGACATGTGCGACTCTTACGAAAGCCATACTTAATGGTGGTTGTTTTTTATTTTTTAGATCCTATACTGTGTTTTGTATGCGGCCCTTTTAGAACTACTTGTAGTGAGGGTGCTGTGTGTGCTTTTCTTAAATATTTATTTTTTCAACATGCTTTCAACCTGTCAACAAAAACAGACAAAAAAAAGGGCAGTGTTTGAAGACTGTTGATTTTTTTCTGGGGATAATCTATATTATATTGACTTTATATTAATTATTATAAACCTGTGTTTGTATTGAAGATGTGTTTAATATTTAGGGGAGATTTTCGTACGCAGTCGGTGGGCAATCGCGGCTCTGTTGTCCTGCTTCTCTGCAGCCGCGGGATGGGTAAACGTTACCTTCTCCACGCGGCTCTCCAGGTTTCTCGGGTGCCGAGGCGCGCTCCCAGCCTGCCTGTGGGTTTCCTTTCTGTGACGGGATTAGCTTAGACATTCTTGCAAAGCGATCACTTTCAATAAATTGGGAAATTGCTGCTCCAAGTAGACGCCTCCTGTGTGTTTCAGACAGTGTCCCCTCCTCCAGCCTCGCCAGTGGGGGTGGCCGGAGGGCGACCCCCACCCCTTTGCAGCTGGTTCCGGGCCTCCCACCCCTCTGCTCACCGTGGGGTCCCAGTCCCACATCCTTCCTCCCAGGAGACAGACTCGACTTCTGGAAAAATCTCAAATCTTTAATTTTTCTCCTCGCCTGGTGCGGTCCAGACGCGAGACACCTGAGCTTCGAAACATGGTGAAAGGTCAGCCCCTGGGCCCTCGAACCACCGAGTTAAGTGCGAACGGGGAGTCCTCTTCCCGACACCCCTCAAAGTGCATTGCAGACTGGCCCCAAAGCTGGGCCCATCCCATCTTTGACAAGTCTGTGGACCGACAGGCAGGGAGGATGGCCGACCCCAGGGCTCTGGTGGCCAAGGGGACAGCGATGTGGTTTGGCTTTAGTGCAAAAAGCTGGTTTCCTCAGAGGCACTTTGAATGGTGGGACCCCTCCCCCACCTCTAGGGGTCCAGGATCACCGACTCCTCCTTCCCCCATTAAAAAGTAGACCCTGCAGCTGGGGGAGGCCCTGGGGCCCTCCTGGGACAGTTCCACCCCAGGCTAGGGGTGGGAGGGGCGTGGGGGCAGGGAGAAGGTGGCAGTTTATGTTCTCCTTTAACAGCCCTGGCGGCTGCACCGGCACGGGCGGGCTCAGTCCAGGAACCGCTGGCAGGCCTTCTTCCAGCGGCAGGCCGTGCACCACAGGTCCCGGTGGTCCATGCCATATACCTTCCGGCACTTCTTGGCATCACCACGGGGCTTCCTGGGGGGACACACGGGCATGGGCTCTGCGGGGCAGTGACGCTCCCGCCCGGCGCCTGCCCAGCCCTCAGCCCCCACACACCTCAGGCTGCCGCCCATCCTGGCGGGCAGGGCTGGCACACAGGCTCTGGCCTCAGCGGGCTGCGGCTCCAGGCCTCCAGAGTGCCCGGAGAGCTGCCCCCAGCTGCCACCCGTGGCCTCGCCCGCCTGGTAGGCGTGGTCACTGTGGCTCGCCTGGGGGGGGCCCACAGAGGTCAGGACAGGGGGCTCCGGCAGCTCCAGGCGGGGGAAGGTGGGCGGCAGGGAGGCCGTGGGCGACGCCGGGGTCAGGCTGGACAGCCCATCGGTCAGCGCGTCCACGCCAGCATCCAGCTCTGTGTAGTAGAAGTCTTCCTCGCCGTCGCTCTGCTCTGGCTCCGCCTGCCTCCTGCTGGGACATGGCGGGGGCTGAAGCGCTGGCCTGGGCTGGACCCCACCCCGCCCGGCCCGGCCCCACACACCCCAGGTGCGCCAGGCGGATGTGTCTCTGCATCCTGGACGCGGTGCTCAGCACCTTCCCGCAGCTCTTCCACAGACACCGGAACATGACCTGGCCGGAGCTCTGCGGGCAGGGACTGGCCGTCAGGCTCGGCCACGGCGCCCACCCCCCCCCTCCGGGGGCTGCCCCGAAGCTCACCTTCCTCTTCCTCGGGGTGGGTTCCCCGAACAGAAAGTGAGCTGCCTCGAGGGGCAGCGGGGGTGATGGGGTGGACGGAGAGGACTGGTCACTGGCCAGGTCCCAGCCCCACTCTCCGCTGGTGCTGCTGCTGCTGTAGCTGCCTGGGGGCCGCACCAGGGCCTCCTTCCAGGGCTCCAAGCCGGGCTCTGTGGGGACATGCCACCCACAGGACTGGGGGGGGGGCTCAAGCTGCTCTGCACAAACTGCTGCCTGCTGGCCGCCTGCCAGCCTTGGCAAGCCCCTAATTCCGAGCTGCCACCTGTTCGCCTATCCTCAGGTAAGCGTGGTGGGCAGAGCCTCTTGGAGGAGGCATTGGCCGGGAAGAGTTGGCCACGGGGGCTTGGGGAGAAGCCTTCCTAGCACAGGAAGACGTCCTGTGCCGGGGGCGGACAATTCAGAGACCAGAAAACGGGGTGTAGCAGCTTTGGCCTCAGTGGGGGGTACCAAGGTCCAGATGTCATTTCAGAAAGCAGCCTTCAAGAGGTATGTTTGGAAGGTGGTGTCCCAGATTTGGGGACTCTCCTTGCCCAAGAGGCTGGGTGGCTGTAGGTTCCTCAAAAGACAGCAGTCTTGGGCCCTATCCCCACCCACACCCCTGAGCACAGACCTCTGAGTCTCACCTGGGCTGAAGGCTGCAACCGGGGCCCCCAGGAGGAGGGGGCTGGTGGACAAGCTGGTAAGGGCTGCGGCCGCCATGACCTCCTCTAGCCGGGCTGCTGCTGGGGTGGCTCTGGAGGAGATGGGGGCAGGTGCGGGTGGGGCCGGCAGTGCTCTAGGCCCCTCCCCTGGCCTGGGTACACGCGCATGCCTAGGCACGTGTGTGCACACCAGGCTGCCTCACTCTTGGCCCAGGACACAAGGCCTGGCTCCTCCCCCAGCTCGGGTTGCAAAGTTGAAAGTCGCCAGGAACTACCAGGAACAGGGCCGGGGTCCCACTGAAGCCTGAGTTCTCTACACCCCGGGCTTTGTTCCACCGTGGCTCCTTCAGGCCTCGGTGCTGGGCAGGGGTCTGAAGCCCACTAGAGTCGGGGGCCAGGCCAGGCCTGGCCCTCCCCCCATCACACATTAACCAGGGTTGTGCAACAGCAGCTGCGGGCCTAGGGCCAGGCCTGGAAGGGTGGGAGCGGCGCCGGTCAGCAGCAGCCAGGAGGAGCCTGGGCTCCAAGCGGTCCAAGGCTCCAGGGAGGCAGGCCAGAGCCCGCCCCTTGCCCTCGCGGCCAGCCCAAGGTGTGGGGCACGCCGGAGTGGGGAGGTGGAGGTGGGGAGCCCCAGGGATTCCTGGACAGCCCCAGGCGGACTGCACAGCCTGCTGCACAGAAACTGACATCCACCCCTGCCCAGTTCTGTGCTCTGGCCCCCAGGAGCTGGGGGAGGGGGAATAAGGGACCCTAACATACTGATCATAACTACTCCGGGGCTGCAGACCTTGGAGAGGCAATCAGAAACCGGGGATCCCGACCTGCCCTCCACCCAGCCTCCCGAGGCGAAGGCGGGAAGGCACGTATCCGCACCCCACCCGCCGACACACGCGCGCACACGCCCACCCAGTCCCCGGGCGCTAGCCCCGCGGCTCACCTCTGCGCTGGCACCGGGATGTGCGCCGACGGGGTGGGGAGCCCCGCCGCCGCCCCCGCCCACGCCCCCGGGGCCCCGAGGTCCGCGGCCCGCGGCTCCGGCTCCTGCTGCAGCGCGAGCTCCAAGCCCGCACAGCCGCCGCCCGCGGCAGGGCCCTGCGGATGGGGCAGGCTCAGAGGCGGCGGCGGCCTGGGGTCCCGCAGCCTCCCACCGGCACCAGCCCGGCGCCCG